CATTCACCACATTCACCACACTAGCGACATTCACCACACTCGCCACACTCACCACACTCACCACACTCACCACACTCGCCACACTCACCACACTCACCACACTCGCCACACTCACCACACTAGCAACACTCACCACACTCACCACACTAGCAACATTCACCACACTCACCACACTCACCACACTAGCAACATTCACCACACTCACCACACTAGCAACATTCACCACACTCACCACACTCACCACACTCACCACACTAGCAACATTCACCACACTCACCACACTCACCACACTAGCGGCATTCACCCACACTCACCACACTCACCACACTCACCACACTAGCGACATTCACCACACTCACCACACTAGCAACACTCACCACACTAGCAACATTCACCACACTCACCACACTCACCACACTAGCGACATTCACCACACTCACCACACTCACCACACTAGCGACATTCACCACACTCACCACACTCACCACACTAGCAACATTCACCACACTCACCACACTCACCACACTCGCAACATTCACCACACTAACCACACTCGCAACATTCACCACATTCACCACACTCACCACACTCACCACACTAGCAACATTCACCACACTCACCACACTCACCACACTAGCAACATTCACCACACTCACCACACTCACCACACTAGCAACATTCACCACACTCACCACACTAGCAACATTCACCACACTCACCACACTCACCACACTCACCACACTAGCAACATTCACCACACTCACCACACTCACCACACTAGCAACATTCACCACACTCACCACACTCACCACACTAGCGACATTCACCACACTCACCACGCTCACCACACTAGCAACATTCACCACACTCACCACACTCGCAACATTCACCACACTAACCACACTCGCAACATTCACCACATTCACCACACTCACCACACTCACCACACTAGCAACATTCACCACACTCACCACACTCACCACACTAGCAACATTCACCACACTCACCACACTAGCAACATTCACCACACTCACCACACTAGCAACATTCACCACACTCACCACACTCACCACACTCACCACACTAGCAACATTCACCACACTCACCACACTCACCACACTAGCGACATTCACCACACTCACCACACTCACCACACTCACCACACTAGCAACACTCACCACACTAGCAACATTCACCACACTCACCACACTCACCACACTAGCGACATTCACCACACTCACCACACTCACCACACTAGCGACATTCACCACACTCACCACACTAGCAACATTCACCACACTCACCACACTCACCACGCTCACCGCACTAGCAACATTCACCACACTCACCACACTCACCACACTCACCACACTAGCAACATTCACCACACTCACCACACTCACCACACTAGCAACATTCACCACACTCACCACACTCACCACACTAGCAACATTCACCACACTCACCACACTCACCACACTAGCAACATTCACCACACTCACCACACTCACCACACTAGCAACATTCACCACATTCACCACACTAGCGACATTCACCACACTCGCCACACTCACCATACTCACCACACTCACCACACTCGCCACACTCACCACACTCACCACACTCGCCACACTCACCACACTAGCAACACTCACCACACTCACCACACTCACCACACTAGCAACATTCACCACACTCACCACACTCACCACACTAGCAACATTCACCACACTCACCACACTAGCAACATTCACCACACTCACCACACTCACCACACTAGCAACATTCACCACACTCACCACACTCAACACACTAGCGGCATTCACCACACTCACCACACTCACCACACTCACCACACTAGCGACATTCACCACACTCACCACACTAGCAACACTCACCACACTAGCAACATTCACCACACTCACCACACTCACCACACTAGGGACATTCACCACACTCACCACACTCACCACACTAGCGACATTCACCACACTCACCACACTCACCACACTAGCAACATTCACCACACTCACCACACTCACCACACTCGCAACATTCACCACACTAACCACACTCGCAACATTCACCACATTCACCACACTCACCACACTCACCACACTAGCAACATTCACCACATTCACCACACTCACCACACTAGCAACATTCACCACACTCACCACACTCACCACACTAGCAACATTCACCACACTCACCACACTAGCAACATTCACCACACTCACCACACTCACCACACTCACCACACTAGCAACATTCACCACACTCACCACACTCACCACACTAGCGACATTCACCACACTCACCACACTCACCACACTCACCACACTAGCAACACTCACCACACTAGCAACATTCACCACACTCACCACACTCACCACACTAGCGACATTCACCACACTCACCACACTCACCACACTAGCGACATTCACCACACTCACCACACTAGCAACATTCACCACACTCACCACACTCACCACGCTCACCGCACTAGCAACATTCACCACACTCACCACACTCACCACACTCACCACACTAGCAACATTCACCACACTCACCACACTCACCACACTAGCAACATTCACCACACTCACCACACTCACCACACTCACCACACTAGCAACATTCACCACACTCACCACACTCACCACACTAGCAACATTCACCACACTCACCACACTCACCACACTAGCAACATTCACCACATTCACCACACTAGCGACATTCACCACACTCACCACACTAGCAACATTCACCACACTCACCACACTCACCACACTCGCAACATTCACCACACTAACCACACTCGCAACATTCACCACATTCACCACACTCACCACACTAGCAACATTCACCACACTCACCACACTCACCACACTAGCAACATTCACCACACTCACCACACTCACCACACTAGCAACATTCACCACACTCACCACACTAGCAACATTCACCACACTCACCACACTCACCACACTAGCAACATTCACCACACTCACCACACTCACCACACTAGCGACATTCACCACACTCACCACACTCACCACACTAGCAACACTCACCACACTAGCAACATTCACCACACTCACCACACTCACCACACTAGCGACATTCACCACACTCACCACACTCACCACACTAGCGACATTCACCACACTCACCACACTAGCAACATTCACCACACTCACCACACTCACCACGCTCACCGCACTAGCAACATTCACCACACTCACCACACTAGCAACATTCACCACACTAACCACACTCACCACACTAGCAACATTCACCACACTCACCACACTCACCACACTCACCACACTTGCAACATTCACCACACTCACCACACTCACCACACTAGCAACATTCACCACACTCACCACACTCACCACACTAGCAACATTCACCACATTCACCACACTAGCGACATTCACCACACTCGCCACACTCACCACACTCACCACACTCACCACACTCGCCACACTCACCACACTCACCACACTCGCCACACTCACCACACTAGCAACACTCACCACACTCACCACACTCACCACACTAGCAACATTCACCACACTCACCACACTCACCACACTAGCAACATTCACCACACTCACCACACTAGCAACATTCACCACATTCACCACACTAGCAACATTCACCACACTCACCACACTAGCAACACTCACCACACTCACCACACTCACCACACTAGCGACATTCACCACACTCACCACACTCACCACACTCACCACACTAGCGACATTCACCACACTCACCACACTCACCACACTAGCGACATTCACCACACTCACCACACTCACCACGCTAGCGACATTCACCACACTCACCACACTCACCACACTAGCGACATTCACCACACTCACCACACTCACCACGCTCACCGCACTAGCAACATTCACCACACTCACCACACTCACCACACTAGCAACATTCACCACACTCACCACACTAGCAACATTCACCACACTCACCACACTCACCACACTAGCAACATTCACCACACTCACCACACTCACCACACTAGCGACATTCACCACACTCACCACACTCACCACGCTAGCAACATTCACCACACTCACCACACTCACCACACTCACCACACTAGCAACATTCACCACACTCACCACACTCACCACACTAGCAACATTCACCACACTCACCACACTCACCACACTCACCACACTAGCAACATTCACCACACTCACCACACTCACCACACTCGCAACATTCACCACGCTCACCACACTAGCAACATTCACCACACTCACCACACTCACCACACTCGCAACATTCACCACACTCACCACACTCACCACGCTAGCAACATTCACCACACTCACCACACTCACCACACTAGCAACATTCACCACACTCACCACACTCACCACACTCGCAACATTCACCACACTCACCACACTCATCACGCTAGCAACATTCACCACACTCACCACACTCACCACACTCACCACGCTAGCAACATTCACCACACTCACCACACTCACCACACTCACCACACTAGCAACATTCACCACACTCACCAAACTCACCACACTCGCAACATTCACCACACTCACCACACTCATCACGCTAGCAACATTCACCACACTCACCACACTCACCACACTCACCACACTAGCAACATTCACTACACTCACCACACTCACCACACTAGCAACATTCACCACACTCACCACACTCACCACACTCACCGCACTAGCAACATTGACCACACTCACCACACTCACCACACTAGCAACATTCACCACACTCACCACACTAGCAACATTCACCACACTCACCACACTAGCAACATTCACCATGCTCACCACACTCTCCACGCTCTCTGCTCCCCACCCTTTCCCCCCACCACCCCCCCCACCACCCCCACCCCCCCCCACCACCCCCCCCACCACCCCCCCCACCACCCCCCCCACCACCCCCCCCCACCACCCCCCCCACCTGTGCAGGACCTGGTGAAGTTCCACGTGCTGTGTGTGGTGCGCGAGGAGGTGAGGCGGCTGCGGGAGCAAGTCTGCCAGCTGCTGGCGAAGAACGAGCAGCTGCATCAGCAGAACCAGCTGCTGCTGCGCCGCCTACTCCTACTCCCCACCCCACCAGCCGCTGCAGGTAGCCAGCCACGCCGCGTGTGTGTGTGTTCACGCTGTACGTAGCGTGCTGTGTGTGTGTGTGTTCACGCTGTACGTAGCGTGCTGTGTGTGTGTGTGTTCACGCTGTACGTAGCGTGCTGTGTGTGTGTGTGTTCATGCTGTACGTAGCGTGCTGTGTGTGTGTGTGTGTTCACGCTGTACGTAGCGTGCTGTGTGTGTGTGTGTGTTCACGCTGTACGTAGCGTGCTGTGTGTGTGTGTGTGTTCACGCTGTACGTAGCGTGCTGTGTGTGTGTGTGTGTTCACGCTGTACGTAGCGTGCTGTGTGTGTGTGTGTGTTCACGCTGTACGTAGCGCGCTGTGTGTGTGTGTGTGTTCACGCTGTACGTAGCGTGCTGTGTGTGTGTGTGAACTTTATTCACAGAACCTGGGGCCGGCTCAAGAAGTTTCAGTCTGGCGGACCAAAAATGTCGCCGTTGATGGGTTTGGTTATTTTATTAAAACCGACGGACACTTTGTTACAAGCTCGCTTGGTGGTGGCGTGGGTGGGTGTGGGTGGGTGTGGGTGGGTGTGGGTGGGTGGGTGGGTGTGGGTGGGCGTGGGTGGGTGTGGGTGGGTGGGTGGGGTAAGGGTCGGGGGTCGGGGGTGATGTGTGTGCCATCACCAAAAGCAAAGATCCACACCCACCGTGTAGCCTGCGACAGGTTGTCAGGGCAAGTGTTGTTGGCGAGTCCCGGCACCCCCACCCACCACCCCCACCCACCACCCACCACCCCCGGCACCTCCACCCACCCACCACCCCCAGCACCTCCACCCACCACCCCCGGCACCTCCACCCACCACCCCCCCCACCCCCACCCACCACCCCCGGCACCCCCACCCCCCACCCCACCACCCACCACCCCCGGCACCTCCACCCACCCACCACCCCCGGCACCCCCACCCACCACCCACCACCCCCGGCACCTCCACCCACCCACCACCCCCCAGCACCCCCACCCACCACCCCCGGCACCCCCACCCACCACCCCCGGCACCCCCACCCACCACCCCCGGCACCCCCACCCACCACCCCCGGCACCCCCACCCACCACCCCCGGCACCCCCACCCACCACCCACCACCCCCGGCACCTCCACCCACCCACCACCCCCGGCACCTCCACCCACCACCCCCGGCACCCCCACCCACCACCCCCGTCACCCCCACCCACCACCCCCGGCACCCCCACCCACCACCCCCGGCACCCCCACCCACCACCCCCGGCACCCCCACCCACCACCCCCGGCACCTCCACCCACCACCCCCGGCACCTCCACCCACCACCCCCGGCACCTCCACCCACCACCCCCGGCACCCCCACCCACCACCCCCGGCACCCCCACCCACCACCCCCGGCACCCCACCGATACAACCAACACCGCCACCGACACAACCAGCACCGCCACCGACACAACCAACACCGCCACCGACACAACCAACACCACCACCGCCACCGCTACCGCCATGGTGACGTCGGGACATGTGCGTTGCGGATTTGTGGTTTATTGTTTGTGTAGTTTTTATTTGTCTGCGAGCGCCACCGCGGGTTAAGGTGTACGCTGCGTGGTGGCGGTAGTGGGCGGTGGTGGTAGCGGTAGCCAGTGGTCGTGGCTGCTATAGCGGTGGTGGCGGCAGCGATGATGGTGGTGCCAGTAGCGATGGCGGCGGTAGTGATGGCAGTGGCGGTGATGGTGGTTGGGCCAGCTTCTGTCCATCCCGGCTACAACGTCCAATCGCGTTGGGGTCAATCAAAAGCTCTCCGGTCCAATAATAATGGTTATGATGACGCTGTTGGTATACTATTATGATAGAATGTCAATAACATTGTAATATAATGTGAAATCGTGTTTTTCGCAGGCAGTGGTGCGGGGGAGTTTGTTTTAATAATGGTCAAACGATGCCAACATTATATTAATAAAGTGACAACAATACCTCGCATTATAATGCTACATATTGTTACCGTGCTGTTACGTATCACTAAAATACAACATGCATCACCGTTATTGTAAAAGAGATTGTTTTAATAATGGTTATGATGACGCTGTTGGTATACTATTATGATAGTATGTCAATAACATTGTTATATAATGTGATCGTGTTTTTGGACGTTGCACGTTTTAAGGAAATAATAAAAGGGAAATTTTCGATTTAAAGCTTTCGTGACTGCAGGGATTCATCTTCTTGGTTCTTTCGGTAAAGTCACGTAGAAGGGAAGTAATAAAATAATAAAAATAAAACATAATAAAATAAAATAATTCTCACGACGTTTCGGCTACAACGCAAGCAGCCGTCTTCAGGTGAAGAATGAGACAATGCCAAGCTAGGAGCTTATATATAAGCTGCGTTGGAGGTGGAAGAAAGAGCGCCTTAACAAAAGAATGTGCATATGAAGAGGAATTTAGCATATTCATGGCAAATGCGTAGGAGGTGGGCGGGGGGGTTTCAAAGTCATATTATGCCCATGCATTATGCAGGATCAACAGCACCAAGGGGGGGTGCAGGGATTAGCAGTAACAAAGGAAAGGAATGTTAATGATATGTAGCTGCAGTTACTCAACCACCACGTAGAAAACTAAAGTATAAACTACATAAAAAACTAAAGTATAAATAGCATAGCACCATCAGTATACTTACTATACTCTACACTAAGCTGAGTTACTAACAGCAAGTAATACATTACAATTCTACGTCGTAAAAATTATATAATATGCTTCCATCTAAACTTTATTCTATTGCATCACACGAGCATATACCGTACTATATACTGCCAACATTAAATTATATACTGTATTGCTGTAAGCCAACCTATATCTTATACATTTAATATAACACTATGTATTATTCTACCCACCCTAATGTGTGTCGAAATGGTTTATTACGTCCTTCCAATGATTGCTAAGCCAGAATCCATCTTCTCGGTTAAAATTGTCTCTGTGTTTGTATATGTGGATCGCCTCATGAACGAATCTCTCATGATAGCCAGATGGCTTGCAGAGAACCTCTGTCTTGGAGAAGTCAATATCATGTGAGCCCACTGAGTTGTAACAGTGATCTGCCACGGCTGAGGTGTTTGTCCTACCGTGTTTCAGGTCTGCTTTATGTTCACGGATGCGGTCCGAGACATGTCGTTTGGTTTCCCCAATGTAACTGCTACCACAGAGGCAACTTAGTTTGTAGACGCCAGGGTACTGTATGTCTGGAACCACATCTTTTACAGACGGTACCAGATCACGGATTTTATGTACTGTGTTGAATCGGACCTGGATCTTGTGTTTAATCAGGATTTTGGAGATCTTTTTTGTGACCCCAGCAATGTAGGGTAAGGAGATGGTCTTGAAAGGCTCCTCAACAGGATCCTTCTTGATGGTTGGAGTGATGGCTTTGCGGATTGTGTAGTCGGAGTAACCATTAGCCTTAAGAGCTTGGCGTACGTGTTTGAGTTCACTGGAAATGTGTTCATGGTCGGAGATGCATTGGGCTCTATGATATAGAGTCTTGATGAGGGAATTCTTCTGGGATGGATGGTGGTGGGAATCCGGTTTTAGATAAGCATCCGTGTGGGTGGCTTTCCTGTAGACAGAGTGGCTCATTGAACCATCAGGTCTTCTTTTGATTAGGACATCCAAAAAGGGTAGCTTGCCATCATTTTCGACTTCCATGGTGAATCTGATGGCTGGGTGTATGGAATTGATGTGGTCGAGAAATTGGTCTAGAGCAGGCCGGCCATGTGGCCAGATGACAAAAGTGTCGTCTACGTACCTCTTCCATAAGGTCGGGCGTAGAGTGGCAGTCTGGATGGCGTCCGTCTCAAATTTCTCCATGAAGATGTTGGCTACAACCGGAGATAGGGGGGAGCCCATTGGGGTGCCCTCAATTTGCTTGTAGAAGGTTCCATTCCAGGTGAAGTATGTATTGGTTAAGCAGTGTCTCACCAGGGGGGGTACCCCAGCATTCAGTTCTTGATGAACCAAGTCTTCAATGATTGCGATGGTGTCAGGCACAGGCACCTTGGTGAACAAGGAAACCACATCAAAACTGACAAGCAGGTCGTCTGGGGACAGGGCAATCCCCTTGATTGTCGATACCAGGTCAGTAGAGTTCAGTACTGCAGAGGTGGTTTTTCCAGTGAAAGGCCGTAGGATTTCGGACAAAAAACGAGCCAGTTTGTAAGTGGGGGAGTTGATAGTAGAGACAATGGGACGAAGAGGTGTATCTTCTTTATGTATCTTTGGCAAGCCGTACAATCTTGGTGGCCTGGCTGCAGAAGGTTTCAACGAGAACTGTTTGGTCTGATCAATTAATGCGGTTGAAGCAGAAATGATGTTGTTGGTTTTGGAGACGAGGCTGTTGGTGGGGTCTCTTTTTATTTTTGTATAGCTGCCATCGTTGAGTAGTTCTTGAATTTTGTTGTTGTATTCTATTTTGTCCATGATGACAGTGGCATTGCCTTTGTCGGCTGAGAGGATGACAATGTCATCCCTCTTTTTTAATTGAGCTAATTCAAAACGCTCGTCTTTGCTGATGTTGCTAGCTGGCATCTTAGCGTTTTTGAGGGTTACAGAGATTTCAGATCTTGCTACGTCTGCAGCGATGTGACTCAAGCCCTTGAGAGCTACATCTACTCGAGCAATTATATCATTAACTGGTATGTGTCTAGGTGTGACTGCAAAGTTTAGTCCTTTAGCTAGAACGGATTTCAAACCTTCAGAAATAGGACTGTTACTGCGATCAGATAGAAGGGTAAAGAACCAATTATCATATTTTTACTGGCAAATGAGGTCCCCATAGTGTAGATGCTTGCCCCGAGCTCTCATACTCTGAAGGTGCATTGTCCTTGAGTTGTGCGCCTTTTGGCGTCATCTGGTCCAACCCATATGAGACTAGGCTCGAAGGAAAGCTGTCTCGGGTGTGGACCAATCAACTTCAGGGACAGTGCACATTATCAGAGTTATGTCTTTTGTTTGTATTTATGACTGCAGGTATTGCGGTCTATACAAACATGACTCCTTGCAAAAAGGTGTCAGTTTTTGTTGCCAGATAGAAGGGTAAAGAACCAATTATCATATTTTTACTGGCAAATGAGGTCCCCATAGTGTAGATGCTTGCCCCGAGCTCTCATACTCTGATGGTGCATTGTCCTTGAGTTGTGCGCCTTTTGGCGTTATCTGGTCCAACCCATATGAGACTAGGCTCGAAGGAAAGCTGTCTCGGGTGTGGACCAATCAACTTCAGGGACAGTGCACATTATCAGAGTTATGTCTTTTGTTTGTATTTATGACTGCAGGTATTGCGGTCTATACAAACATGACTCCTTGCAAAAAGGTGTCAGTTTTGTTGCCAGATAGAAGGGTAAAGAACCAATTATCAACTCTTGGAACCTCCGAGTTCAACCAGTCTACACAACAAAGGATCATTCCTACAGCGTGCTTCAGCCGCACCGAACCTCACAATAATAATATCCAGGGCCTACCTTT